CAATTTCCCTACTTTTTAAATCTCCCAAACTAAAACATTGTTAACATTATGTAATCAAATATATATTATAAAAACGGGATATTTACCACGTCTTTTACTCGTTGTGAGCTCCTGATTTTTCAGCAATTTAAACGGTCTATCAAATTATTTTTAGGAACACCGAGATAGAAAAGAAAGCACTTGTTATGTAAAAAGAACTTTATTGTTTACATATAAATGTTAGTGTCTTAATAGTATGTATGAGGTTAATAACATACATAAATCGCGCAGATTAATGCTTAAAATAAAAATATAATAGACTAATATTGCTATTTCTTCTTTCAAATGTAAGTATTTCATTCATAGATTGAGTAGGTATTTAAAGACTGACAGAGTGAGGAAAGGAGATATCATGCCAATCCTATAACGTAGAAAGAGACGCAACATGATGTACCTTTCGTCTAATAATATATTTTTTGCAAGAGCCGCAGCGCCCTGTCAAGTCGTACTGAGATAAAATTTATTATGAAATTCTGTGAAACTAACTAGCGATAGGAACCCTAAAAATTTACGAAATCTTATCTTGCCTAGTCACAAATGCAAGAAATACAAATTTCCCTACTTTTAGGGAAAATTTCCCGTAAATAAAGTAGCCACACAGTTGTATTTTTGTTTACCATTTTCATCCTTGTAAATAAAATATAATATAAAAAAAATATCAAGAATCGTCAATACTTAAGCATAGTAGGTGATTCCTTGTGACTTTTCAAATTTACTCGTGCAGTTTTTAAAAGATTTCACCACACAAGACGCCATTTATTTAAAAATATATCGGAGCAATTGAACGTGTGACTGGCGCTGTCACGCGAGTTCAAATGGCAGCGGATTGTCCGACCTGGTGCATTAGTGTGAGTGTAGGTAGTGTACAACACACGATTTTGTCTGACCTACATGTCATTGTCATGCTTCACATGATTTGCCTTTGATATTACGTCCGTCTTTTTTTCAGGTCCGTGAATGTAGAGTGAAAATGTATCTCTTAAATAGTTCTAAAAAAAAGTCCGTGACACCATATATCTATTTTTAATGTGTAAGTCATTACCGCTAAAATAGTGAATCAAAACTAAAATATTATTTGATCTCTATTTCCAAAATGCACATTTTGTATTAACAAATCATTTTTTATCAAAACAAATACTTTAATCGCATTTGATATTTAAAGACGATAAACTTTGCTTTTTACACTATGTCATTTCGACAAATATTTAAAAAGTGACAACGATGACAAAGTGATAGCGCGGTGTACTATGTAAAAGAAAAAAAAATGGGGTATTCGCAGTATCTGATCCTATACGAAGTAGGTACTAACATTAAAACTGTGATAAAGTTCCTTCTTATTAAATGATGAAAAATATATTATCATAATAGGTATTTATGATTATTGAATTTTAATGAAAAACTCAGAATTTTACTGTTTTTCATTTCTTTAACGATATTACTTAAGGTTACAAAATAGGTTTACTTAATATAATGACTTATTGGAATCTCTGTATTTATTAAACAGCTCGCGATAATATTAGTTTTGTAATAATTCTCCAAAATTCAAAGTAAATAATGTAGATTTTTATAGGTAAATCACCCCTTTCATCACCTATAAGTATTGCGATGTTGTAGCTAAGAACCAAGTTCCCATCTACTTCTATATGGGAATTCATTATATTCGATTTAGCTATTAGGGCACGGAAGCGCAACAAACAAACTCACTTTCGCATCTATAATATTATATTATACTTACTAGTGATCCACCCGGGCATTGTACGGGCGAAATTTATTTATCGTGATAAAATATAGCCTATGTCACTCGGACAAAATGTATTTAAATAAAGAAAAATGTTATAATAAATAATGTAGCTACCTTATGATGAATTAATATTTGAAACCGGTTCAATAGTTTGACAGATTATTTGTTACAAACATACAAATCTTGTCTCTTTATAATATTAGTATAGATAGTTAGGATAAGATAAGTATTTAATTGATGAAAAAGATTTAAAAATAAAGTAAGTAATAGGTTTATTTGATTATATTTGTAAAAGTTACTTAGCATTTGTGCTTAACAGTGATACGTTATTCGGTATTTTTACCCGGCTGCGCAATGCAAGAGCGCGAAGCGCGACGCGCAGACAGGGTTATGTGTTTAACAGTCTATATATGTATGTTTGTTCCTTTGTGGCACACTAGAGACCAAACGCCTGGACCGATTTTGATGATTCATACACCAATCGATTCGTCTCAATCATGGGAGTGCTACTAAAGATATGATAGTAATCAAAATTCAATATGGGCAAAATTATTATAACAATGATTGCACTACTGGGAGTACTCTTCATTCGAGCTTTACACTACCAATAAAAAAGGGTCGAACACAAAGTCTTTGACCTGTTAAATGTGAACGCTTTAAAAGAAAAGTACAAAGAGAACTATAAATTGATAATAAATGAGATTGCCATGGTGCTCTACCTAACGTTATGAAAAATTTATTATGCGCCTTTAGTTTAATCAAATATTATAAACTTTGCTTTGGTGATTGTATAATTATTTAATTTAGTGATCTAAGGCAGTTGCCACCGTTGTCCAAAACAACAGACGGGAATTACTGCTTTTTTCAACCTGCGACATATACGTCATTGATTGGTATTGTATATAGGGTGATTAAAAACATTTGAAGTTAACTTCTGGCATCTACATATTGGGTTTCTGTGAATTATGTAGGTATATCAAATTATGAGACTAGGGACTGACACTGCATTTGTGTGTATCACAATCTTAGATGTCCGGCATTGACATGACAATGCAGCCACTGCCAATTTTAAATAGTCGACGAATAAAAGTAAATGAATTTTATATTTACTGCTAAACTATTAAAAAAAACATAAACAAAAGATGACTTTTTGAGTAAGTGATTAGAGATATTTATGTAACGACTTGATTTAACTTCACACATTTTTGCGAAAATTGAGGCCCATCTGTAGCCTTGACCCCGCTGGTAAAGTCTTTATATGCCTTAATAAATCAATCTTTTAGACCGACGCAAGGTACTAATAATTCCCGCGATATTAATTCCCTTACTGAAGTAACAAGACTACGGTATATACCGTCTTAAAATAATAACTAAAAAGTGTGAAATAAAAAAGGTAAATTTAAAAAATCAAAAAACCCGACTGCTTAATTATTCTTCAAATAAAAACTGAAAAGAAAAAAACAAGTCCAGTAGTCTATAATTCTGTTAATAAGGAACAAAGTTATTTTAACAGTCGGGACCCATTGTTGAAAAATAATATGTATTCTTGAATATCTAATGGGTCCCGACTGTTAAAGTAGCTTTGTTCCTTATTAACAGAATTATAGACTACTGGACTTGTTTTTTTCTTTTCAGTTTTTATTTGAAGAATAATTAAGCAGTCGGGTTTTTTGATTTTTTAAATTTACCTTTTTTTTAATTATAACTAGAACTGCATTCACAGATTTTTTTAAAATCGCCTGCTAAAACGGGGAATCAAACTCATGAAATTTCGAAAAAAAACGCTACATGTTTTATGATAACCATCGAAAGGGTTAATCATAACAATTATTTTTTGCTAAATAACATAGCATTTTAAATGAAAGAAAAGTCATAAAATTACACAATTTATTAAATATATTCAATAAAAAGTAATAAAAAACGAAATGTATCAAACGTTCAAAATGTGATCCGATTTGTTGTATGCAAATTCTAACTCTAATGTTTTCTCTGCCTGTCGATTTCATTATCTTTGCGTGGTGAATGTTTGTAATAATACGTCTGAGTTATTTTGTATCTCCTGCACACTGTCTTACCGGTTCTTGTATACTTCATCTGTTACATAACCCCACCAAAAAAGTCCAGTGGGGTAAGATCTGGGGAACTCGCTGGCCATCTTATCTGTCCATAAGAACCAATCCAGGAAGGAAAGTGTTCATTAAGAAACTCGGCAGTTCTCCTACTGTTATGAGTCCCATTTTGCTGGAAAATGAGATTTCGTCGATTTGCATCAGTAAGATTATTGATCTCACCTCTTAAAATATTAAGTATTTCTAGATATCTTTCCGTATTTAGATTCCCTTTGTAAAAATGTATTCAGAAACCCCGGTTTTTAACTAAAATGAAAAACACAAAAAAAAGAACAGTACCCTTAGCACGAACCAATATCGAATTCGAATAGTTTTCGAGTGCGAAATGTCATTGTCAAATGTGTTCTGATTTTTAGTTCTCGTTACGTACTTTGTGGTGCTGCTGTATCTTTCTATACAAAATTTGACATTGACATTTCACACTCGCAAACTATTCGAATTCGATAATGTTTCGTGCTAGGGGTACAGACGCTTGAAAATGTATGTGTTCTATTTTCGAATTTTCAGCCAATCGCATTGTAACTGAGTTCAAAAAGAAATGCATACGTACTACAGTTTGTTTATCACTTTATTCTTTTTAATACGTAATAAGACTTTCCTTTCATTTAAAATGCTATATTAATTAGTAAAAAATAATCTTTATGATAAACCCTTTCGATAGTTGGCATAAAATATGTCGTATTTTTTTTTTCGAAATTTCACGAGTTTGATTCCCAGTTGTAGCAATCGATTTTTAAAAAATCTGTGAATGCAGTTCTAGTTATTATTAAAAATGAAATGATGTCTTCTTTCAGTAAAATATCCTATCTTTAATATTTAATATACTTTCCCTCCGTGTGAGGTAGCCGTGGGACGCCCTGTATAAATAAACTTCAATTGAATGTGAACAACCAACAATTAAATTCTTGATCAGATAACTATAACATATAGACTTGGAATGAAAGTAGCAAATAAGTGAATAAATTATTGAGCCTCATATACATTTAATATATATTATAATAGGTAGTATTTATAGTCAGTTAATCGTTTACGTTATGGCACTTATTGATTCATTAGTTAATGGAATGACTTGATATCCTTATTTATTCTATGCAACTTTTAATCTAATAAGTACCTACCTAAAAATACAAAAACAATGATATGCTCTGGAAATTTTCAATAATAAATCAACAAGTCAGTATGATGAGAATTAATCAGTCGGCTTTCCCAGTTCAAGTTTTAGTTGGCTATGACATCCATGGGTTTAACTTTGAGTCTCTCCGCCAGGGCGGCGCTGGAATCGATCTGTTGCTTCACATAGGATACCGTCCCGCGTTCCAATGTCTCTTTGGCAGCTTTCTTTTCTTTGTCACCCGGCGCCAATACTGGCAATTCTGGGTCGGTCTGAAAACAATTGAAAATGTAAAGATTATCGTTATTAGACAAAGTTGATGCTCGTCTACTGGGATTCAAAGCCAGAAGAGAAAGGCAGTAGGCATTGCACTTACAAGTTGCCAAGTTCAAATTTATAGTCGTTAATGTTTGGCGGTACAAACAGATTGTATGATATGCTACGTTTTAATAATCTCACTACCTCCAGTTTAGATGGTCTCGGCAAGGCTAGCGACTTTTAATAGTGTCCTTGGGCCAAACGAGTTATTATCGCAATTCACTAGCAGGGTAAGATTACGAAAATACGGTCTACATTCGATGCGCTATACCAGATACTGATATCAACCTGAAAGTTTTTTTTTCCTTTTTTGAGCTGAGGTCCGACTATTGGCTGCACCTGCACAATCGCTTGCTATTTCTCTAGAGAGTTGTCATTTCTTGCGATTGTAACTTAGTTCATTCCAAACAGCCAAACTTCTTGCAAGAATACGTAGTTTAGGCTGGTGATGAACTCCCAAACTAGAGGCTCTGCAGTTCTTTATCGCACCTTAAAACAGTGGCGCTATACACCGGTTTCAACTGTCTCCAGTGCTGGATGGTCTCGGCAAGGCGGTCCGCAAAGCCGGGCGCGAAGCACCCCGAGTCGACGGCCACGAAGCAGTGGCCCAGTTTGGTCACCTTAATTGTTTCCTGACACATGGGAATAGATCCCGCCTATTTACCTATTTAACTGATTGTAAATCAGTGGCGGTTCATACCGGTTCCAGCTGCCTCCAGTGCTGGATGATCTCGGCGAGGCGGTCCCCGAAGCCGGGCGCGAAGCACCCCGGGTCGACGGCCGCGAAGCAGTGGCCTAAGTTGGCCGGCCCGCCCACGCCGCTATGCGACCACGAGCGTAGATGGTGACCGTAGTTAGCACCTGGACACGTGCAAATGATAATAGTGTTAAGAAAACAATACCCTGTCTGCACGTCGTGCTTCGCGCTGCTTGCGTGCGCAGTCGGGTAAAAAATGCGGCAGTAGAATAGAGGTTTCTATAGGGTCTTTAAACAGACGGGCCGCATCACAACAGCATGATCCGCCTGCCCGCCAGATTAGAATCGGACAGTTACAGAGTATGTATACTTAAATCGCAAATCCCTGTCCAAATGATGATAAGAACTTAACTCACCAAGACCGTTAGTTACCGAAGTTAACTTGCTACTGTACTTACCGAAGGGTTTATCAACCTGAATATTGAACAAAGCGGATTAAAACGATACAAATTAAATATGGCGAGGATTCTTTTCTAATATGATGTACATACATGTGCATGTAAGCGTTTAACTTACCAGATGAAATGCCACAGAACAACTCGACCATAGCAGACAGCCCAAACCCTTTGTAACCTGAAGTTTTCTCTCCTCCGCCTAGCGGCATCAAGCAACTGGTTTTGAATGCCTGTAAATATTAACTATGTACATAACTATTTTAAAGGGGTGGCACACAACAATTGGCCCGCCTGATGGTTATCAGCCACCATAGCCTATAGACGCTTGCTATACCCAAGCCGGTATACTTGCTATACCAGCGTTGACTACTTTGACCAGATCGTCTATCCCGTGTAGCCCTAGAACCTTACTCACCGACAGAAACACAAAACTGCCGCCGAAAGGTAGTGTTATTTTACTGTGGTCTTCTGTGGTGGAGGTTATTTCCCCAGACGGGCGTTCCAATTCGAGCTGAAACTCTGCGATGCCCCATCTCTTTTAAAGTACAAAATCTCGATAGTGTAAGTACTTACATTTAAATAAATAATTTGGCAGGTAAGTATAACATAATGACAAAGTAACCTCCATCTATCAGAAAGCTACATTGAAAAATAACGCTAGTGTTTCTGTGGGTTTATGAGTATGGTTTCCGGGCCTTCACGAGTCACGGGATTGGGATCAGCTTTTTCCAGAAATAAAAAAAAAAGGCTGGTGAGGTGAGATGACTGAAGTGTAATCGGGGGGCACGGCAGTGCCCCCGACTAGTCGAGCGCGATGCAAACACTGCCGTACCATCTTTACTGGAACCATTACGCCGCATTTTCAGGCCCCTATTTGAGCACCTCTGGATAAGACCAGAACGCTGAAATTTTCGTCATCCAGTAAGCTATAATAGCATACTTAAAATCCAAAATTTCAAGTCTGTAGGTCATTTAGTTCCGAAGTTAAGCGAAAGCAAAGTTTCGTATTTACGACACTCACTCACTCATGATCATCAGAATAGAACTAGTACTTCCCATAAACTCAGAGAGCTGAAATTTGGTACAGAGTTAGGGTTTAATGGCCACATAAAGGGAAAACTATAAAAACTAGGATAATCGAAGATCTGAAGTACCTGGTGACCCTGGTTTTGTATAGCACTACACTGACTTTTATACTTATACTCACAAGTTTACAAGAAAAAATAGTCGAACCAATTAACTTTATTCTACTCGAACATTACATTAATTAAATAAAGAAATTACACTAAAATATTAATTTTGGTCAAAATATATTGCATTGGACTAAGAGTGGCGGTGATACCCGCACACGTTGCTAAATGGCGCTGACTGTATTGTAAAACGCGCTTACGTTTTGTTTTTCCAATAAGCTTATATGGCGAAGTGACAACTGAACCGGCCACGTCACAATCGTTTTGCGGCATTCCTCTACTGCCCTTAATGACGTTTGATAGCGATTAAGAGGATTATTTGCATTTCATTGATTTCGCTTATTATATTTATTACTGTTTTGTTGTCCATAATCCATATAGTAAAGGTCGTTGAGTTAATTTGCGTTCGATTTCGCAAGATAATATCGTAAAATGTCGATAATATTAAAAAACGACGATGAACTTAGTGGCTACCAAATAGTTGGTATGCCCAAAGATGGGTCATTCAATATCTTTCGTGTATGGTAGAACTGACTCAAACAATTCACAAGAGCCAAGGTCTGAGTCTAAAAAATGCCCTCATAGACATTGGCACCTCCATATTCTCTTGTGGCCAAGCCTACGTGGCACTTTCACGAGTATCCAATCTCCATGGGGCTCATAAATGTTGACTTCAAGAGTATTAAAGCTCAAGCTTCAGCGATCACCGAGTACAACCGGCCTAGACGTAAATACCGTGCCGATCTTTTAGAAATTAAACCTAGACGGTTTAATCAATCATCATCTAAAAGAATAAATAATGAACGCGAATGGGCAATACGAAAAACTGTTGCTACTGTACAAGAATCAGAACCGGAAAAAAAGAAAAGAAAGATTTGTAATAATAAAAAAAACTACTCTTAAAAAGAAAAAAATGTGTCAAATAAGAAAATCTAATAAAATAAATCAATATGCCCACGTTTCTACAAAAAGAAGTGAAATCCCACCAAAAACATTCTGTAAAAAACTAGCCAAGTCTCGATGGAGCTGCTTGTTTATCTCTAAAATGTAATGAAATCTAGACAAAGTCGTGCCAAGTCAAAGGTTCCTTACTGCAATTTCTTTATTATTATAGTTAATGTTTTGTGACTTGGCCGTTGAAGGGTACACAAGTGTACAAAACCAGGTGCTACATGACACCATTGAACCAATCTGTCGCCAGAACAGCTACCCATTGACGATGGAAAATTGCCACTTGGAAAACGTTGATTGAATAACCAGTCAATTGTAGGCTTGATAAAGTTGCGGACCCTTCAACGGCCAAGTCACAAAACATTAACTATAATAATAAAGAAATCGCAGTAAGGAACCTTAGACTTGGCGCGACTTTGTCTAGATTTCATTACATTTTAGAGATAAACAAGCAGCTCCATCGAGACTTGGCTAGTTTTTTACAGAATGTTTTTGGTGGGATTCTTATTACCGCATCAGATATGATACGATTGGACTGTATTCACATTTAACATCAATTGATTGGCAAGTTATCGAATTATTTGTTAAGAGTCGTTTAGAAAAGATGGAAAAGACTTAACTACGAAATTAAATGAATTGAACATATATTTATATTAATATACTTTATTCAAATTGACTTATGAAAAGCTCTTTTGAATCGTCTAACATTTTTACTACCACCTATTCAGGACAAATCTTTTAGCTGATATACTAATCACAATATATTTGTAGAATACTCGCAGGAAACTTATCAGCATTTAACAAAATGAAGTACAATGTTAATTACCAGATCAGCGTCGGTTGTCTCTCTACCGTCAGGCCCTTGAGCCCATCCGTGGGGTAAGGGCTCACCCTTTCGAAGTTGCATTTCTATCTGGAAAAGATTCAAAAAATACCTAATATAATTAAGGATCTTATTTTATTTTAGCGCGCTCGGTCTGTCACTTAAGCAACAGTTTGGTCATTTGAGGGCCACATGAAATTTATCATTTTAGGTTTCTCCTAGGTTCTATAGGCAGTTGCAGTCGTAAGCACCCATTGATCTTTTCCGGGCCCGTTACGTGAATTACAACCCGTTCCTCTTTCCTTTTCTGATACTAGTTTTACAACTGTTCTCTCAAAACCGATAATAGTGTTGATTCTGGCATAATTATCTAAACCTAAACTTGACAACTTATTTATTAGTAGCTGGTGAACAAAACGGTACCTATAATAACACATCTGGTCAAACTACTTTTTTTACAGTCCGGAAGTTTCTGGCCCGCTGAATTTGAATCTCATATAATTTTCGATCAAAACCGTCTAAAACGGTGTTAAAATTACTAAATGTATAAATTAAAATCCATGCCAAAAGCTCACTGGATGTATGTCATTCAGTTTTATACAGCTCCTGTAAAATTTAATTTTATGTAATTAAACCGTTTTTTTCGCCAGCTCCTCATATACCATCCTTGCTATACTGTATATAGAATGAGAAGGAGAGATTTATTTAAGTTTAGAGAATCATGCCAGAATCAACTTCAATATAATCGATTATCCGAAAATCGATACGTCGTCATGTGCCCTTCTCTACAGACAGCATGCCATATAAATTGTAATGAAGGACGACGATGGTGTTGCCATAACTACGGATTTGTCTGTATCCATACGGATTTTAACACTTAAACGGGGTTATAAAAGCCTACGGATTTTTATACGGAATTGTCAGGAAATGCAAACGGTAGTTTATTAGTATTTTTAATCCTTGTAAAATTATTTTAATAAAACTAATGAATATTACGGAAACACCGATTTAAAGATCTGGCAACACTGAACGACGACGACGACGGTTGCCGTCGTTCGGACTTCTCGATCTGGCAACCTTACTTCAACGGGTAGTAATGATATTTTATTTCTTACTCACTTTGCCAACTGCCACTGCAGTAGTCGCCATATCTAAGTAGAAGGATTCGCCTTGAGACGCCGGTGCCACCACCGACAGCGGGTTTGTGCCTAAAGCCGCCTGAAAAAAAATAAACAACACGTTTTTAATATTTTTATATTTCAAGCATCTAACTAGCAAAGACATTGTGCTATGGCAATCCAAAGTCAAATTTTTTTTTTTTAATTGGTGAACATTTGGTTCACTGGTTTGCTAGTTATTATTATCATGTAACTGGCACCTGTGTTCGAGATCAATAAGAAATCTAAATGCTGTATCATCTCATAAAGGAGATATACATATAAATAAATAGCAGGGCTATAAGGAGCGAAAAATTATGTAGGTGTGATTTTATTAGTTTATGTCTAAAGGTGTTTATTAAAAAACCTTGTATTCTAATTTTTTTACGAATCTATAATTTAGAGTTAATTTATCAATTTGATCAGGTCCATTCCGTTCTCCATATTCCAACCATAGGGGTATATGCTCACCCCAGCAAGGGGTAAATTATTAGGATGATGATGATGCTATATTTAAATTATTAAATTAATATGAATGCTATGCTACGGTTACCACATAAAAATAAGGTATTAATGTCGTTCTGCAATGCGATAAGAATAGAACGGATTCGTTTAGTATTTTGGACATTTCCGTTTTTGAAGTCAAGGCCATTTAGTACGTGATGATTTTAATTATTCAAACACAAACCACTTTACAACTCGATTTAAATGGATACTAGACTCTTTACATATTTTTTTTATTTGATTCGTTTACTTGACATAAAAATAACCTTTTCTTTGTATTCTTAAAAAAGTTGGTAGTTTTTTTAGCCGAATGCGCGACGCAAATAACTCGAAGCGCGACGCACAGAGAGGGTATTGTTACCTGTTTACTTCTAGTAGGTGCTAGGAGAGGTGAGGTGTTAGTGAATGCCATCCCTATTAGTCCCTTGTCAGCTGCTTTTTGGGCCCAAAAGCCTGCCATGCCGTTGTGGTTCGAACCTGGAATTTCAGTTTAAATTGCTTGTTTAAATGACATGAAAAATAGGCTTAGGGCAAGAAGTAGACCAGGGGTATTCGTCAACCCTCTGAACCACACTGGAGCGTAGTTCTATTCGCTATGTGCACGACAGAGCGCCACCTACAATACGCAACTTTCCGGGATTATGCCAAATAATGACATCAGTTTGTATTTTATTGATTTCTAGTAAATATAGTAAATTAAAGATAAATAAAAATTATTATATATTGTATAATAATTTAAATACTGTCGGATTTCAATTCGGAATTTAGTACAGTCAATAATAACTCTTGTATTGATGTAATCTGGACTGAAACACTTGGGCATTGTTGCTTGTACGGTGGCTCTATTCGGCCAAAAGATTAAATTAGCAGTTGAACAAGCTAGATTTTGTAAGATCGAATGAAATATAAGTGAGATTGTGGTTTTTTTGTACACCAAATAACACACTCAATGCTGAAAATGTCAAGCCATTTTTCATTTTTATCAAAAAAATCAGAAGTCGGTCTTTAGTGGAAACTGTACATTTTTTCATAGTTAATCTTGTTAATAAAAACTCAAAATTGCTAAATGACACACCAGAAGGATCTAGGAGTTCTTGATCATTTGTTATTGATGAAATACCAACAAATTCTTGACTTTTTGTTTCGGTAGATTGATCCTCATACAATTTTTTGTCAGTGCCACAGCTTTTATCTTTCTTTCTTGAATTATTTGTCATTAAAATTCTTGATGTTGGATTTCAGCATCACAGTGATCACTGTAAATTAATCTAATACAAATAAAAGTTGTATCTCTTAATTTCGATTCAGAAAACATATTGACTTGACATCCTTGATCGATCATAAAAGGTTGAGTTTGATTTAATTCACTCCCTTCTTCAATTATTATTTGACTTGATGTGGTATCTGAGACTTTTGTGGTTCTTCGTTTTGTCAAGCGTGTATATCTAGCTAGGACCTGTGAATCATTAACCTTCCTCTTTCGATATATTTCAGGGAATATCGTAGGAGCATAACTCGGATTTTCTTCCTCGTCTGATTTTTTGTTTCCCATAAAATGTTCACTACAAATTGTGTCGTTAGGTTTGGGATACCATGGCGACCCATCAACACTAAAATAATAAAGACAATAATGAATATCACATAAAATATATAGCGCAAATAAAATTGATCATAATTTAAGGTTATTTCGCTTACTTATTTCTTTTTATGGCATCTATCCATTTATTTCTTTGATTTAATTTCCAGTCCAATGTAGGAAATATATACACAGACTATTTGTGCCCTTATTTTTGCAATTCACAACACAACAACATCTATTAATAGGCATTTTAAAAAATTTTTGTTTATTACGAACTCCGTGCAAATTGACTTTACTTTCCCGGATTGTTGCGTATTTCTGCCACGATAAGCGCTGCGATCGCTTCACTATACCCCCACCATGTACTTCGCACATAGCGAATAGTGGAAAAGAGGTTGCAAACCGATTCAACATTAATTTCTTTGAATGATCTCATGCTCATCGGGAAACGTATAAGAGGCAAAGAGCTAGGATGGCTGGAGTGACTCCCCCGGCAAAACACCCTCCACAACAAGGGCGTATATACAAATCTGGCGCCCTGGGCCACTTACGATTTGCACACCCTCACCCTCCTAGAATTAGTAAATCAAAATATAGGACAGTAAGGAATGCCTTTATATGGCTTTTACCGCCTGTCGCAGCCTACCGCCCCGGGCCATGGCCCTCTTGGCCCTAAGGTCTTACCCTAGGGTAAATACTCCCCTACCCACACGCAAAACAGGCAGCACAAAGACTTTGATTTACGGAAACGGCCATGGTTAAGAACAACATCCCCAATAAAAAAAAATTGGTTGTCTGTTAAGTCGGTTTACGGACGATAGTTTTACGTAATAACGTCATAAAGCAACATTGATGAAAAATTGCATAATTGCTAAATCTGACGTCACGCGATACAAGCGTATACAAGCCGACGACGCTTGGGCCGATCGTGCCTCTCTATCGCTTGTTCCGCGCTTTCGCTTGCACGCTCAGGCTCAGTAGGAACGTGACATTTTTACGTCCGTGCAGCCAGTGTTCATCAATTTATAGGACATTGTCAAGTCAAAAATTATACGTATTTGTACAACTATACCTACCTTTAACAGTGACCCATCCAACGCCGGTGTCTTTCGCTTTTTTTATAGCGATGTCCATAGCGAAGTGGCTGGCTGTCGCCCCCAGAACATTGTTGGCGTCCACCCACGCTGTGGATGCGTTTTCCTTCAGTATCTAGAAACAATACTATTACGCCTTAGTTAGAGGACCCCGATGGCTCGCGTGTGGCGAAGCTCAACCCAATTCAGAGAAAAATAAAATCAAACTTCATTTATTGAGTTTAGGCTTTTACATGTGTAAGCCGAAAGCTACTGCATCAGTTCGCAAATCTACGGCGAGAGACCTTGTACTAATTAGAACCGACAAGAAACTCAGCAAAGGCTCTTTTTCTGAGTCTTCTTTTCTCTCTCTTTTATTTTATACAATGTCTGCAATTTGAAAATGTCATCAAACTTTGAACAAGTATTGAAGTCAATATCAGTTTCCCTTAAGATGCTATATTTCCCCAATTTTTCCCAAGAGTGCAATTTTCCCCAGAATTGCGCAAAAAACCACCAATCCGGTAACGCTGCACATTGTGTTATTTCACCTCAAAATTACCACTCCCTTGATTAAAGGTGAATCAGATAAAGCTCTTCATTCTAAGCGCAAGAGTAAAACTCCCACGATTCTAACTATAATAGTTTCGACGAAATCCCGGCTTTTCTTTTTTTGTACCACATTGTGAAAAAGAAATAAAAAAAAAAAATTGTCTAAACTATTACAGTTATTTTATTTTTTACATTGTATTTCAAAAGGTATTATTTTTATCCATATTATGAGTCTTCTATGGCTGCCCTAGAGCTTGTAGGAACCGAGAAATCGGCGATTTAGTGATTTTCGTTTTTAATTTTTTGTGCTCATGTTATGCAATATTAAAGCTTATAATTTAGTTCAAAATGTAGCTAATAATGTAGACTATCAACTCAAAAAATAACAAGCTTTAACTCGGTGGTATATCGGAAATATTAAGAATTTAAATTTGTGGGACAATGTCCCACATTTTGAAGACTTAATTTTGAAAACGTAGTTATACTACTTTTTAAATATTATACTATAATAACTATATAAATACGTTGTTATTATATTATTTACTATTTATATAAGGTTATAAATGTGTTTGGTATGTTTGTTACATAATCATCCACTTTTGTGGGCCAACTTGTTTGGATGAAATGTGGCACACAGGCATTAAGTTCTTCCCTATTAAGTGCAAATAAACAAATAAATCTGTTTAAACATTATCTGTCGTAAACACACTGTCTTCGTTATGAAGAACAGTTGTGAATTCATTTTCTTCACTTTCTATGCATGCAGTTTCGTCGTCGACATCACTGTTATCGTCATATAAACATCCCGAACTGTCCAGTTTTAACAAATTTATTACAGCCTGTGGCAGTGGCATTCTCATTCCGTTATTTTCACGATGTTTTAGCCGTATAGCCGATATCACAGGGTCGGATGACTTGAGAGCCCTGTGAAATAAGTCGGTCATGGTATGAACCCTAGAATCTTTCCGGCTGTGATGTTCTCTGTCCTGTGTCTGGAGAGTAGTCCAATGGGTAGCGCTGAATTCTCTATAATTTTCTCTCCGTGAATTAGGATTTTGTGAAGGGTAGTAGTCATAGGGTGCCAGTTGTAGTTTTCTACGTATTTTTTAGCTATATTTTTACAAAAAGTACCGAATTTTTGGGCGTCTATTGGTAATCCCGAATTGATGGCTATTAAAATTACATTTAAAACATCTACGAGCCATTTCTCAATATCAAGTATATTGGCAAACGTCTGGCGGCTTTGTTCACTTTTTAATACTCGACGAGCCGTATTACCATCATTCGTGGTCCCTGAGTTAGGCTTAAAAACGTCTACCAATAGACCCATACTTTGCTTAGTTTGATTTTGGATTTCTGTTTTTCGTTCTGCAGTAATTTGTCCTATGTCAGAATTTTTTATTACTCGCCACCGTCTGACTCTTGGGTCATTTTTGTATCCCAAGTGAAAAAATGACCCAAAAGTCAGACAGTGGCGAGTAATAAAAAATTCTGACATAGGACAAATTACTGCTGAACGAAAAAAAGACAGTTCGGGATGTTTATATGACGATAACAGTGATGTCGACGACGAAACTGCATGCATAGAAAGTGAAGAAAATGAATTCACAACTGTTCTTCATAACGAAGACAATGTGTTTACGACAGATAATGTTTAAACAGATTAATTTGTTTATTTGCACTTAATAGGGAAGAACTTAATGCCTGTGTGCCACATTTCATCCAAACAAGTTGGCCCACAAAAGTGGATGATTATGTAACAAACATACCAAACACATTTATAATCTTATATAAATAGTAAATAATATAATAACAACGTATTTATATAGTTATTATAGTATAATATTTAAAAAGTAGTATAACTACGTTTTCAAAATTAAGTCTTCAAAATGTGGGACATTGTCCCACAAATTTAAATTCTTAATATTTCCGTTATACCACCGAGTTAAAGCTTGTTATTTTTTGAGTTGATAGTCTACATTATTAGCTACATTTTGAACTAAATTATAAGCTTTAATATTGCATAACATGAGCACAAAAAATTAAAAACGAAAATCACTAAATCGCCGATTTCTCGGTTCCTACAAGCTCTAGGGCAGCCATAGAAGACTCATAATATGGATAAAAATAATACCTTTTGAAATACAATGTAAAAAATAAAATAACTGTAATAGTTTAGACAAAATATTTTTTTTATTTCTTTTTCACAATGTGGTACAAAAAAAGAAAAACCGGGATTTCGTCGAAACTATTATAGTTAGAATCGTGGGAGTTTTACTCTTGCGCTTAGAATGAAGAGCTTTATCTGATTCACCTTTAATCAAGGGAGTGGTAATTTTGAGGTGAAATAACACAATGTGCGCTGTCCCCACGGTTGGTTATGGCCCATTCTCTCTTTTCCATCAGCAGGGAAGCACTGTATCGAAGCATGGCACAGTGGGGTGAATAATAGGCTGGTGATCATGATGTTGATAAGTCAGAAACTGACCGAGCTTATTATATGGGATTGAATAGTAATGAGTCAATAGTCACTTTATATGTATAAATACAATATACTAGTTTCCATACATCAGCAGAACCTACCGTTTCCAAAAAATATAAAAAAAACTGTATTTACCAAATAAATTACAACGATTACACATCGTTGTCTCCTAGACAAGGAATCTTATTAAAAATATTGCAACTTATAATACGATTCAACTAAGAATAGGACCGACTGGGCGCCATATTGTGACGTAATAGCTGCCAATTCAAACCAAATAGGAAGTGTGAGCAAAAAAGTTTTCATTTAATAAAACTTATTTAGTAAGATTAAGTAAGAAAAAGCGTCAGATTTATTTGGTAAAATTTATTTACTAAGATTGAGAAACAACCGATTATAAATAATATTTATATATTAAGACTGTGTTCGAAACACATTAATCAGAATCTAGCTCTTCAATTCCGCTCATCTCTGCATTACCGCCGGACTAGTTATAAATAATCATGCATTATTACTAGGTCACACATACGAACATGCATCCTTTATGTAAACTAAAGTTTTAAATTGAGTTTCTGAACGCAATTTAAAGTGACATTTGGTTGACGTTTTAGGTTATCTACAATTCAAAGCCAACGCTCACTAAAGGGGGAAAAAATCAATCGATATTAATTATCAATATTTGTTATTGTTTGTGTACAAATGTTTGGTTTTAATTCTAGAATTAGCTGAGTTCTAAAAAAGGGTTCCAAGATTTTTTTGCAAACCCTACTTTTCAAGCGACATTTGACAGATGGAGGTCATTGGCTTTCCTACTCTTATTTGAATCACAATATATATTTAATTTCTTTACCTTTGGCTCATTGTTTGGCTTGCACGTTCCCGATAAAATTTCTTTAATGTACAATTCTGAAAAAAAAAGTTTTTAGATTATATTTACTTGTATTGCAACATTTAGAGCCCTTTCCTTTCAACAATGATTCATTTTATTATATTTTCATATTATTGTAAAAAGTTTAATTATAATACATAAAGTTAAATAAATATATAAACTTCTTGACTGTAAAGTGAACCTCACAACAGCTTTTACATAATCTGGCAATTTGTTAATATTCAAATTAATTGCTTAACTCATCAGCGACGCGAAAACGGATCATTTAGTGAACAGCGTTTTTTCCTTAGAGTTACTAAAATGTGTAATTAATGTTTACTCTGAAGTTTTTCATAGGAAGTAGGGAAGCATAACGTTCTTCATCTTCCGTCCATTTTGGCTTTTACGAAATACTCGCTCTTCATTTTCGCTTACTTAAATTGGTACTTACAATTTACATTATCGTTGACTTTCAAATTTGTTAGACATGCAATGTATTTGTTTAGTAGATATTTTGTTAAAAAAAATATTGGTACAACTTGAATTGAAACATCGTGGAAAATAACATAAAATTGATTAAAGATAGTGATAATAATGAAGTGGGGGCATAGAATGTTTTTGAAGATCAGATATTGGATATACTTATATTGATAGCAATAACATGATATTTTTAATCTTAGGTTGACGCTTGACAACCTAATTCTAATCAAGATGTGTGTTCTTATGGCTCGTACTACCAGGATTTAAATTAGAGATTACAGATTTAAAATAAAACGCAACATTTTTCAGTAAAATCATAGGTTTGTGTAAAATATTGCAAACAATAAAAATTTGCCCGTTAAGAAACTTTGTTTAACAATAGAACTTAATATAATTACATTATATTATACTCTGTATTGCATCATCTAGTTCAAAACAGAAAGTCAAATACATAGTTAGCAAAAGTGGGCTTATTTCTAAAAGAGATCTCTTTCAGCCAACCTAGGTGGTGTCGGAGATTCTTAACTTAGCGGGAAACAGAAAGTGCAATAAAAATTAAACTAAAAATAATTTATTACTTCTGTATACTTTATTAATTATATATATATACTAGCTGACCCAGCGAACTTCGTACCGCCCTAAAAAAATAGGGGTTGTCCAGCGGACAAAATTGTGAATCTAAACCATTCTCAGATCCCCTTGAACACACACAAAAAATTTCATCAAAATCGGTCCAGTCGTTTAAGAGAAGTTCAGTGACATACACACTCACAGAAGAATTATATATATAAAGATATATATATATATATATATATATACCTACATAAATAAACATAGATAAATACAATACCTAATCATATCCATCCAAATATACATAACATACTTATAAGCCTGATAAATAAATTATGACATGTAATAAAGTAATTAATAAAAGTATATACAAACATATACATATAATATATATTATAGGGTAGGGGTTTTGTTATTATTGAAACAATATAAACCTATCCATTTATACTTTTTACAAATTTGAAATTTTTGTAGTCACAAATCACACCGAATTGTCAATAGTAGCCAAAGGGGTCAATGCACTTCAGTTCTTCCATTGCGAACTATAAGTAGTTTGTCCGGGAGGGCTTGCCAATGTTCATAATTATCTTATATTATTAATTGTCTTTGTACCTATCTGAAAAGCTCTTTCAATCAAAATTTAGCTTAATGCTGAAGTTCTCCTCTTTTTTAACAGCTAACATTTATCCTTCCTACTAAGTGCAATCTCTAGGAGAATTGCTTAGTCTGATCCTGATATTTTTATTCATTTATAGCCTTTATTTGCTGACAAATTAACATTTTAACATAACTTGCGTGACTTATTGCCACATAGGCCTCCTCCTAGGAGCTCGATGGCGCCAGTGGTTAGCGCGTTCGGCTGCGGTCGTTGAAGTTGAGCAATTTTCGCAGTGGTCGGTCATTGGATGGGTGACCAAAAATTTACTATCTCGAGCTCCTCCGTGCTTCGGAAGGCACGTTAAGCCGTTGGTCCCGGCTGCATCTGCATTCGTTAGCACTCACCAACCCGCTATCAGTTATTATGATATGCACGACGAGAGACAAAACGTTGGCAAGCGACAGCGAGTGTCGACAGGCGACGCCAAGGGATATAAACGTTGACGCTTCCCTTGCTCGGCGAATTAGGCAAGCGACACCGAGTGAGGATAAGACAGATATGCTGTCTACACCACAGAACACAGAAAGCGGTTAAATGGGAGTTTATAGACCGTTTGCACGGGAACCGATGTCGCCGGCTCGTCCCCTCTACAGTTACATCTACTAGATAGAATAGCCAATCAAACGACGCGATATCAAGCAAACGATCCAATCAGCGCTCACACCCGAGAGCAACGTCGCAATCAGAACGAAGTTTTGGTTAAGTTATGATCATTTGCTCACACATAACTCTCTCACACACACACACACACATACTCCCAGCAACGCGACACCAGAACTACTCATTATTTCAATTACCTAAACATTATATTTTAACCTACCTATTACATTAAATGATTACATTCTGATGTTATAGTTCTCTTCAACATTGTTAAGATACAGTTATTTTATTTTTTCAGAACATGTAATTTTGTTATTATGTACCACTGTAAACTTTCTATTTTTTTTTGTGCATGGGATTGTGAGGAGAAGAAATAAAGAATTATTATTATTATTATAAATGTGGCGTGCCTGCCCCGCCCACGAGGCCCTCCTCCCGCGTTCTGTTCTTTGTTGGTCTTCTTTTGGCCAATATGTAAAGACTTGAAATTACCGTGTCAAAAATAAAAACGAGCGAGCCTTACAGTAGTCGCGTATAATGTGTAACATTTGAAACCCCACCTTATATTATTAAAAAGAAATAAAACCTGTAGTAGGTTTTATTTCTTTTAAAAGGCAATGAAGAAATAAGCCATTTGAAAATTATATTCTAAAATCAAATCAAATAGCGCGCGCTTTCGCGACTTCCTGTTACACACTTCCGTCCCATTTCACGAAATCACTCCCACAAATAGCAGGAAAGCGAGAGGAAAGATGTTACACATCTAAAAACAGCTTTATAATATTAAAAAATTGAATAGGTTTACCTAGTCTATTAAGGCCGTGGCTCGGGTGCCCCATGCGGTCGGCCTGTATGAGGAGCTCAGCTTGCTGCTCAGCCGCCTTCGCCGCCGCACCGGCTGACTTCAGACAGTCGGTCATGAACCGCAGCACCTCAGCTGTAGCTACCTTACCCATAGCTGGAGTTCACTGGAATAATAAATAAACAGATTATTGTGGGATTGAAGGTAGGTAGGTAATAGACAGCTTATTAGAATAACAAAAAATTTGTGGTATCAATTTGATCAGTAAAAACTTTTTTAAGAAAAACAGGTTATATGGTGGCAAAGATGACACCGAACTGCCAAAATATTAACAGACTATGTTGCTCTTTAATTTATTTTTTTAGAGGACATATCAGTAACTGCTTTCGTTTAAAAAAGAAATGACTAAGTATTGTAATTTTTTGTTAGAATTTTTTTATTTTGAATGTATAGTATACTATACCAAGCGACTTTAAGGGTTAACAAAGAATAACAAAAAAATAAGAAATCATACAATTCTAAACTACATTTATAGTCAAACTAGTTGTGCCCTGCGGTGTTACCCGTGGTTTATTAGGGAAAATTCATTTTCATCGATTTTCCCATGGGAATAAGGTATTTCCCCGCAGTAAAACGTAGCCTCTGTGTTAATCAAGGATGTCAGCTAACTCCATACCAAATTTTATTAAAATCGCTCCGACTCCGCTCAGACGTGAAGAAGTAACAAACATACATAGTCACAAACTTTCGCCTTTATAATATTAGTGTGACGCCAACGCAAGCGGTAAACGTAAACGGAGATACTCAAAGGGTCTCAAAGGGTAACTCGGATCTTAACTTCGTTTAGAATTTTCTTATTTCTTACATTTTTGTGATTTTGTTTTTGTTGTTTGAAATGCAATAAAATCCAAGATGCAATATAATGACCATGAACGTATACCTAAAAACCACAGAACACAGAAAGAGGTTAGAAGAGTGATCATAGACGGTTTGTACGGGAACCGATGTCACCGCCTCGCCCCCACTACACTTCTACCTAATACATAATAGTCAATCAAACGACGCGACATCAAACAATCGAACCAATCAGCGTTCACACTCGTGAGCAACGACGCATCAAAACCAAGTTTTGGTCAAGTTATGAGCATTTGCACACGTAACTGTGACACGACTGCCCCGCCCACAAAGCCCTTTTAAGACTTCTAACCTCTTTCTGTGTTCTGTGCTACAAACACATAGACCAAGAATCTCGCTACTCTTAGTAAAAACCGGACCAGTTAAACTCGCATGAAGAGGATTCCGTTCGTAGATTATCTAGGTTCCATAAGTTTTTCTAATCTGCTAAAATTTTCAAAGCGGATCCAATATGGATCCGCGCATGACAATTTTGTGGCTTTACAGAATAGCATTGCTAGCATTGTGGTAACTAAATAAAAATAATGCTTATTTCTGAGTTTTGAAAATTTTCTTATTAACTGTGAAAAAACACAAACTTCTAGGTTTTTCTGCTTGCACGCACGGCTTGGACGTATATAAACTTTAGACGAAAGAACTGTATACTTCCTAGTGTCTATACTGTAAATAGTATTTACTTTGGAGGCAATGGTTATTTTTTGCCCTTTTTCATAAATAACCTTACAGTCATTATTTTCAATTATTTATAAACCTCACAAGGCTTTATGTACATTTGATATGACAGACAGCAAAGATGCTACATTTCGTCTATAGAAAAACAGAGTGGACAGTTTTCTTTTTATTCTCTAATCTCTCCCCAAAGACTTTACTCTTCCAGTTTTGAATCTCTGATATATAAAATGTTTACCAAATTAATTAAAGTAGTTACAAAGCTGATTTGCTGTGACCAACGGACTGACAACCAAAATTTTTATAATATAATACTTGGACTGATTTCGACGATTAGAATAAACTATTTCACAATTCCTGACAGAAAAAAGAAATACCTAATAATACAGAACTGCATTATTGAGATTAGATTCACAAAACGAGTTACGCTCAAGAGATACGTTTTCGATTTATAAATATTATTTATATAGTTTTTAATAACCAGCTTTAACTCCGGTGTTCTAGTTTAACTCCGGATTTGAAAACCGCTTAAAATCGCTTTTTTAAGCTCTAGCACACATAGCATCAAATACGAGTAAAAGTTACAGTCAATTTAAAAATATTCATTCAGTTGAATGGAAAATGCAATAATAATATAGTACGCGTGCGTCGCGTCGTTGCAACATTGGGACAAGACATTGGAAATATTTTGCCCCAATTATCGAAAAGGAGCAGACATGAATGAAACCTATTTCAATGGATAGATACAATTATCTACTTTATCCGTGTAAATTGTTTTTTTCTGTAACCTATGACAATGCTGAGAAAATGAGGTTTTGATATTTGCGTCTGTCTGTAAGGCCCTGATGGCCTGTGTTTTAGTCAATAAGTGTCTATACATAAATAAATATTTCCAACACTCACACCAATTAGCCTAGCCCCAAGGTAAGCACTGTAAGGCTTGTGTTATGGGATGCTAGGGTAACGGATAGAAAACATATACTGTACATATATAAGTATATTTATATAGAAATACATATTAAACATCCATGGCTGGAGTACAAATGCTCGTATTCATCACACATACATCTGCCCCCACCGGGATTCAAACCCGGGACCTCTCTAGTCGGCGACACCATGAAACCCGGCGTAAAAACCACTCACCACGGAATCGTCATAAGACATGACCCTGCAGCATATCAAGGTAGGGAGAGCAGCAAATATTTTTGCATGCACGTACTTTTTACCCGACTGCGCAATGCAAGAGCGCGAAGCGCGACGCACAGACAGGGTATAGTGTTTAACAGTCCATATATGTATGTTTGTTCCTTGGTGGCACACTAGAGACCAAACGCGTGGACCGATTTTGATGATTTATACATCAATCGATTCGTTTTAATCATGGGAGTGCTACTAAAGATAGTAATCAAAATTCAATATGGAGACAATTAGGTGCCTTGATGAGACGAAGTAAAAAAATAAGTTGACGAAATATGTCGAGTGGGGTATCATTGTCTAGATAATCGAAAATCATGATCAGGTTTTTTACACCATTTTTCTTTTTATGCGACTGTTTAGGATCTACAACGATTTAAAGTTGTATAATTATTAACCACTTACGCTTTTAATTTCAATCTTACGTTTGTATGGATCTTTGTTACTCTTTTACCTACAAAATACTGAATGGATTTTAATGAAACTTTACAATAATATAGCTCATACATGATAATAACATACAGATAACAAATTATATAGTCATTGAGTGAATTGGCCAAAATATAACAATAAGTGTCACGTAAGACAGTAAAAAATCTTCCATCTGCGAGCCATTTTGGCCTGCACTTCAAAAACAATAAAAGTTACACGAATATAATGTACTGTGAAAATGTATCTCTTAAATAGTTCTACAAGAAAGTCCGCAACACCATATATCTATCTTTAATATGCAAGCCATTATTGCTAAAATAGTGAATCTAAAATAAAGTATAAATTTATGTCCATTTCCAAAATACACATTTTGTATTAACAAATTATTTTTTATCAAAACAAATACTTTTATCGCTTTTGATATTTAAAGACGATAAACTTTGCCTTTTACACTATGTCATTTTGACAAATATTTAAAAAGTTACAACGATGAAAAAGTGATAGCGCGGAGTACTATGCAAGATTAGACTGCGGGAATAGTGGGAGAAGAAATTCAATTTTGGTGTTCATAAACGTAGATAAAACCTAGGCGAAAAAGATAAAAATTGGCTACTCGCAGTATCTTATCCAATACGAAGTACTTACAATAAAAGTATTCTACAGTTCCTTCTTATTAAATGATGAAAAATAAATTATCATAATAGGTATGTATGATTATTGTAATATAATGAAAAACTCTAGTTTTCATTAAATTACAATATCATACATTAAGTTTCTAAAGACCATGTTAACGATATTACTTCATGTTACAAAAAATGGTAACATAATGAGAAATAACCAATTTTTCGCTAGTAGGTACATATTTAATGGACTCCCTGTATTTATTAATAATTAGTTCGCGATAATTTTGGTTTTGTAATTATAAACGACTAGTGGCCCGCCCTCGCTTTGTTTCGGTGTAGAGCTGTAGTGTAGATTATAATTTATGTTCAAATGCTTGTATTATACACAACGACTTTCTTCATAATAATTATAAACCATCCATTCCAAATAAAAAATTCGTTGCGTAGTTTAGGACCCGTTGTACCGAATGCAACATTGCTCTGCTATTCCGATTTGAGAATTTCGTTTTGTATTGGACAGTGCATTTATCGAGGAAGGCTATAGGCTATATATTACCAGGCTACGACCAGTAGCAACGGAGCATCGATGAAAAATGTTGCAAAAACGGGTAAAAATAATCCATTGTGCGCTTGGTAAACGGTTAAAGTTACATAAAAATCATGTATGATGGAATTCTTCCCCTTTAAAACTTCTGTAAAAAAGTCCACGACAGCTTATGTCCATATTTTAAGTTTTACTCACTATAAACCTTTTTCTTCAAATTAACGCGGGTGAAACCGCAGTTGACCTCTAGTTGTTAGACATATGGTATCGCGGACTTTTTTGTAGATATTGATATCCTCTATAAAACTTTAGTACATCACTTTGCTCTATTGTCAATAACTTCCGCAGTGTACGCGATATAAGGCTATGTTTTGGTATTTTTTACACACGTTGGATTACATTATCGAAGTTTTCATACGGAACCCTAACTTTTATGAAAATACGCTATAGCCTATATATAGTGATAATGCAGCATTCAAATTGTGAAAGATTTTTTAAAATCGGTCCAATACTTTTTGAGCCAATTCGTTACAAACATACTTACATTCCTCTTTATAATATTAGTATAGATAATTCTGCAAAATTCAAAGTAAATAATATAAAGTTTTATAGGTAAATCACCCCTTCCATTACCCTACGCCTATAAGTATTGCGATATTGTAGCTTAGAACTAAGGCCCATCTATTTCTATAGGGAAATTAATCATAATCGATTTAGCTATTAGGGCGCGGAAGCGTTAAAAACAAACTCAGTTTCGCATCTATAATATTATAATATAAATAATACTAGTGATCCACCATCAATATTTAATTGATAAAAAAGATTTAAAAATAAAGTAAGTAATAGGTTTATTTGATTATATTTGTAATAATGATTTAGCATTTTTGGTAAACAGGGATTCGTTATTCGGTAATTTATACATACTTATTCTTATATATAACTAATATATTATAAACTTTGCTTTGGTGATTGCATAATTATTTAATTAGCAATCTAAGGCAGTTGCCACCAGTGTCCAAAACAACAGACGGGAATTGTTACTTTCGTCAACCTGCAACATTAACGTCATTGATTGGTATTGTATATAGGGTGATCAATAACATTTGAAGTTAACCTCTGGCGTCTACATATTTGGTTTCTGTAAATTATGTAGGTATATCAAATTATGAGACTAGGATATGACACTGTATTTGTGTATATCATCATCTTAGAGCCGGACGTTGACATTACAATGCAGCCACTGGCAATTTTAGATAGTCGACGAATAAAAGTAAATGAATTTCAATTTATTTCTAAACTACTAATAAGAACACAAGCATAACATGACTTTTTGAATCAGTAATAGTTAACTATAAAATTTACATTCATGAGATATATAGGTAACGACTTCATTCAACATAACACATTTTTGCGAAAATTGAGGCCCATCTGTAGCCTTGACCCTACTGGTAAGTACTCTATGGCTTAATAAATCAATCGTATAGACTACCGCAAGGTACTTAATAATTCTCGCGATATTAATTCACTTACTGAAGTGACAAGACTGCGGTATATGCCGTTTTATAATCCTAACTAAAAAGTGTGAAATAAAAATGATAAATTTAAAAATTCAAAAAACCCGACTGCTAAAATATTACTTGAAATAAAAACTGAAAATAAAAAAAACAAGTCCAGTAGGTAGTCTATAATTCTGTTAAGTAAGGAACAAAGCTACTTTAACAGTCGGGACCCATTATTGAAAATTTTTATCTGTACTTGAATAACAGGCACTGGGTATTCCAACAAGATTCGGCGCCAGCTCATAGAGCGAAGAGCACAAAAGACTGGCTAAGGGCGCGTGAAATCGACTTCATCCGGCACGAAGACTGGCCCTCCTCCAGTCCAGATTTGAGTCCGTTAGATTACAAGATATGGCAACACTTGAAGGAAAAGACGTTCTCAAAGCCTCATCCCAATTTGGAGTCACGCAAGACATCCTTGATTAAGGCAGCCTCCGATATTGACATGGACCTCATTCGTGCTACGATAGACGACTGGCCGCGCAGATTGAAGGCCTGTATTCAAAATCACGGAGGTCATTTTGAATAAACTTTATTGTCATAAGAATCTATGTTTTGTCGAGTTCATTTTGATATATAAATGGTTACATAATGAATAAACTTGTTTCAATTATTTTATATTAAACGTGTGACAGAATTTATGATAAAATATGTATAAGTATAACAGCATAGTAAATTAAATTTCCAAGAGGAGTGATTAGGAATTTACATATTACTGTTAGGGAGCTATTGGTCGACATAGCCGGGCCTGAGTGGTTCCCGAGTCCACTAGCTTTCTAGAAAGCGAGTTAATACAATTTCACGTGAGCATGTGACTGGTATTAAAATCAAGCAAAGTACTACTACAATGAGGTAGCGTTGATGGCAATGCATTGTAATTATCGATTTGGGAGTTGGCCGCAAAGAGTTTTGTGAGAAGACTAGGTTTTTCCGGCAGTTTATGAACCGTCTATCCATCGTAGAGATGCTAGCGAATCCTATTAAGTGCATGTCCTGATGAAGCGATGCACTTGTGCTTGCTATGATTGAGTAAGAATAATCCATTCGTCACCAGATAGGCTATAATTGCACAAACACGTGGCCTAACACTATGCTATTAACTAATAAAGGCTGTAATAGGTAACCTAATTATGCTTCAATTTAATTGTCTAAAAGTTATAGGTGAGACCTCAGACCAAACAAAAAGTAAAGACGGAGTCTGCCGAACAAAAAAGTGAAGCCGGTTTTTTATGTATGTAGTGCATTAGCCAGTGTTACCATAGTCATTTATAATACCCCAATATTAGAAAAATGTAATAACGTTATTTCATAACGTTATGAATAACGTTATAAAATATTAGAAAAAAATATCGTAGGCTATATATATTATAATAGGTAGTATTTATAGTCAATTAATCGTTTACATTATGGCACTTATTGATTCATTAGTTAATAGAATGACTTGATATCCTTATTTATTCTATGCCACTTTTAATTTAATAAGTACCTACCTAAAAATATTAAAACAATGATATGCTCTGGAAATTTTCAATCATAAATCAACAAGTTAGTATGATGAGAATCAATCACTCGGCTTTCCCAGTTCAAGTTTTAGTTGGCTATGACATCCATGGGTTTAACTTTGAGTCTCTCCGCCAGGGCGGCGCTGGAATCGATCTGTTGCTTCACATAGGATACCGTCCCGCGTTCCAAGGTTTCTTTGGCAGCTTTCTTTTCATTGTCACCGGGCGCCAATACTGGCAATTCTGGGTCGGTCTGAAAACAATTGAAAATGTAAAGATTATCATTATTAGACAAAGTTGATGCTCGTCTACTGGGATTCAAAACCAGAAGAGAAAGGCAGTAGGCGTTGCACTCACAAGTTCCCAAGTTCAAATTTTTGGTCGTTAATGTTTGGCGGTACAAACAGATTCTAAATGTATATGCTACGTTGTAATAATCTAACTACCTGCAGTTTAGATGGTCTCGGCAAGGCTGGCGACTTTTAATAATGTCCTGGGGCCATACTGCGAGTTATCATAGACATACACTAGCAGGGTAAGATTACGAAAATACGGTCTACATTCAATGCGGTATACCAGATACTGATATCAAACTGGAAGGTTTTTTCCTTTTTTGAGCCGAGGTCCGACTATTGGCTGCACCTGCATAATCCCTTTCTATTTCTCTAGAGAGTTGTCATTTCTTGCGATTGTAACTTAGTCCATTCCAAACAGCCAAACTTCTTGCAAGAATACGTAGTTTAGGCTGGTGATGAACTCCCAAACTAGAGGCTCTGCAGTTCTTTATCGCACCGTAAAACAGCGGCGGTACACACCGGTTTCAACTGTCTCCAATGCTCTATGGTCTCAGCAAGGCGATCCCCAAAGCCGGGCGCGAAGCATCCCGAGTCAACGGCCACGAAGCAGTGGCCCAGTTTGGTCACCTCAATTGTTTCCTGACACATGGGAATAGATCCCGCAGTTACCTATTTAACGGATTGTAAATCAGTGGCGGTTCATACCGGTTCCAGCTGCCTCCAGTGCTGGATGGTCTCGGCGAGGCGGTCCCCGAAGCCGGGCGCGAAGCACCCCGGGTCGACGGCCACGAAGCAGTGGCCTATGTTGGCCGGCCCGCCCGCGCCTTTATGCGACCACGAGCGTACATGGTGACCGTAGTTAGCACCTGGACAGTGCAAATGATAATGGTGTTAAGAAAACAATATGTATGAAATGTCTGCACGTCGTGCTTTGCGCTGCTTGCGTGCGCAGTCGGGTAATAAATGCGGCAGTAGAATAGAGGTTTCTATAGGGTCTTTAATCTGACGAGCTGCATCTCAACAGCACGATCCGCCTGCCCGCCAGATTAGAATCGGACAGTTATAGAGTATGTATACTTAAATCGCAAATCACTGTCCAAATGATGATAAGAACTTAACTCACCAAGACCGTTAGTTACCGAAGTTAACCTGCTACTGTACTTACTGAAGTGTTTATCAACTTGAACAAAGCGTATTAAAACGATGCGGATTAAATATGGCGAGGATTCTTTCTAATATGATGTACATACATGTGCAAATCAAAGAATTCTAAGTAAGCGTTTAACTTACCAGATGAAATGCCACAGAACAACTCGACCATAGCAGACAGCCCAAACCCTTTGTAACCTGAAGTTTTCTCTCCTCCGCCTAGCGGCATCAAGCATCTGGTTTTGAATGCCTGTAAAAATTAAGTATGTATATAACTATTTTAAAGGGTTGGCAAACAACTATTGGCCCGCCTGATGGTTATCGGCAACCATAGTCTATAGACGCTTGCTATACCCAAGCCGGTATACTTGCTATACCAGCGTTGACTACCTTGACCAGATCGTCTATCCCGTATAGCCCTGGAACCTTACTCACCGACAGAAACACAACACTGCCGAGGGGTAGTGGAATTTTACTGTGGTCTTCTGTGGTGGAGGTTATTTCCCCAGATGGACGCCGCGATACTGTAAGTACTTACATTTAAATAAATAATTAGGTGGGTAAGTATAACATAATAACAAAGTAACCTCCATCTAACAGAAGGCTACATTGAAATAACGCTAGTGTTTCTGTGGGTTTATGAGTATGGTTTCCGGGTCTTCACGAGTCACGGGACTGGGATGAGCTTTTTCCAGAAATTAAAAAAAAAGGCTGGTGAGGTAAAATGACTGAAGTGTAATTTTTATTACCGCATTAGATATGTTACGATTGGACTGTATTTACATTTAACATCAGTTGATTGGCAAGTTATCGAATTATTTGCTAAGAGTCGTTTAAAAAAGATGGAAAAGATGAAAATATATGTACATTTATTACGATACTTTGTTCAAATTGACTTATTAAATGCTCTTTTGAATTTTCCAATATTTTTACTACCACCTAATCAGGACAAATCTTTTAGCTGATAAGTAGAATACTCGCAAGAATCTTATCAGCATTTAACAAAATAAAGTACAATGTTAATTACCAGATCAGCGTCGGTGGTCTCTCTACCGTCAGGTCCTTGTGCCCATCCGTGGGGTAAGGGCTCACCCTTTCGAAGCTGCATTTCTATCTGAAAAAGATTCAAATAATACTTAATATAATTAAGGATCTTATTTTATACTAGCGGCCCGACCTCGCTTCGCTTCGGTGTAGACTACAGTTTTTGTCTCAGGCTTGTATTATACACAATACGGGCTCAAAACCGATAATAGTGTCGATTCTGGCATAATTATCTAAACCTAAACTTGACAACTTATATATGAGTAGCTGGTGAAAAAAACGGTATAATTACGCATCTGGTCAAACAACTTTTTTTAACAGTCCGGAGGCACGGTAATAATATCATACAGTATTCTATCTTCATACAAACGGTCGGAAAGCGAGTCATACCTACGCCACTCGAGTTCGATGTGCTCTCGACGGGCACCCAGTCGCGAATGCGCCGCCGCGCCGCAACGAGACGGAACGGTCTGAATTGCTTTTTATGCAGATAGCCGTGCTTGAACGTGCGTTTTGTATTGTAAATATTTGATTTAATTAAGTAGATACCTACATAATTAAGTATGGAAAAGAACAAACAACGATCAATATCGTACAACAGCACAATTGCTGTTTTTGGTTGCTTGAACTCTTCAATAACACAGAAATAATAATATATATAATATCCAGAGATATTATTTTTTAAATTACCTGAAATATTGGAAAGGTGTCTTACCTTTATAGAATATTTTTTAAATACCTATCTACTAGTACGTTATTAGTTTCTAATATTTAGGTATTTCGGTTTTTCCATCGGGCAAAATATCTGGAATAATATATAAATAAGTGGTTAGGATGAAAAAGAGACAAACGAGTAATCTACCTACACTCGCGTTAAAAACAAAACTACATAAAATACTGTAGGCTGGCGGCCCTATCGCGTGCCAACGCAGCGCTCGGTCGTAGGCATTTTTTTTGAAGGACAGGGCGCAGTCACAATACTGTATAGATAATATTACCGTGCCGGAGGTTTCAGGCCCGTAGAATTTAAATCTCATATAATTATCTAAATAAAAACCATGCCAAAAGCTCACTGGAGGTATGTCATTCAGTTTTATACAGATCCTGTAAAATTCAAGTTTATGTAATTATACCGTTTTTTTCGCCAGCTCCTCATATAGCATCCTTGTTATCTTTATATATATAATTCTTCTGTGAGTGTGTATGTCACTGAACTTCTCTTAAACGACTGGACCGATTTTGATGAAATTTTTTGTGTGTGTTCAAGGAGATCTGAGAATGTTTTAGATTCACAATTTTGTCCGCTGGACAACCCCTATTTTTTTAGGGCGGTACGAAGTTCGCTGGGTCAGCTAGTACTGTATATAGAATGAGAAGGAGAGACTCATTTTAAGTTTAGAGAATCATGCCAGAATCAACTCCAATATAATTAATCGATTATCCGAAAATCGATACGGCGTCATGTGCCCTTCTCTACAGACAGCATGCCATATAAATTGTAATGGACGATGACGATAGTGTTTCCATAACTACGGATTTGTCTGTATCCATACGGAATTTTAACACTTAAACCGGGTAATAAGAGACTACGGATTTTTATACGGAATTGTCACGAAATGCAAACGGTAGTTTATTAGTATTTTTAATCCTCATAAAATTATTTTAATAAAACTAATGAATATTACGGAAACACCGGTTTAAAGATCTGGCAACACTGAACGACGACGACGACGGTTGCCGTCGTTCGGACTTCTCGATCTGGCAACCTTACTTCAACGGGTAGTAATGATATTTTATTTCTTACTCACTTTGCCAAGTGCCACTGCAGTAGTCGCCATTTCTAAGTAGAAGGATTCGCCTTGAGACGCCGGTGCCACCACTGCCAGCGGGTTTGTGCCTAAAACCGACTAATAAAAATATTAACAACACGTTTTTAATATTTTTATATTTTAAGCATCTGTAGGAAGGCCAAAGGGGAAGATCTTCCTCCGAGCTGGGTGATGTTAGCTCGGGGGCCGCGGCCCGACTGATATTAGTCGGGCATCGTATATATGAAGAGTTAGCCTCCGAATTTCATTTGCGCGATGTAGGCTTCCATACTATTATTGATCGCAGTGCAGGTAACGCCATCTCTTGAGGATGGTGAGTAATGATTTCTTCCATCCGTTGTCTATATGTGGGGCATATAGATGTCGCCGCCACATCACTCCTCCGAGACCGGAGTTCGATGGTCAGTGTTTTCAGCAGTCAGTGCGTCAGTCGAGCCTGCAAGTGCCAGTGTGCTGCAGGATGCCCCAGTCTGCGGTGAGTCGAGACGGGTGGGGTGACGGCGCGTCGCCAGTGCTGCAGAGTTGCTCCAGTCTACGGTGAGTCGAGACAGGTGGAGTGTGACGGTGGGTCCGAGCTGCTGGTGTGCAGGGCTGCCACGTCGGTGTGCTTGCGGCCGACAAGTGAGGTACCGGTCGTGGGCTGCGAAGACCAGGTCGGGATGATGCCGTCGGGTGCTGCCGAAGGTCCAGAAGCGTTGTTGAGAGCTGCGATGGAACCTTGAGGCTGATATGCTGGCTTGCTGTGTGGCTGCTGATGTTGCTTGACCTGATGAGGAAGGGGTATGAGGTTTGATGGCTGCGCTGCGATGGTTGAAGGTTGCTTCTGCTGTGCTCAGTCGTCGGTCACCAGTGTAGGGAGGCCAAAGGGGAAGATCTTCCTCCAAGCTGGGTGATGTCAGCTCGGGGGCCGCGGTCCGACTGATATTAGTCGGGCATCGTATATATGAAGAGTTAGCCTTCGAATTTCATTTGCGCGATGTAGGCTTCCATACTATTATTGATCGCAGTGCAGGTAACGCCATCTCTTGAGGATGGTGAGTAATGATTTCCTCCATCCGTTGTCTATATGTGGGGCATATAGATGTCGCCGCCACACATCTAACTAGCAAATACATTGTGCTATGGCAATCCAAAATCAAATAATATTATTATTATCATGTAACTGGCACCTGGATTCGAGATCAATAAAAAATCTAAATGCTGTATCATCTCATTAAGGAGATATACATATAAATAAATAGCAGGGCTATAAATAGCAAAAAATTATGTAGGTGTGATTTTATTAGTTTATGTCTAAAGGTGTTTATTAAAAAACCTTGTATTCAAATTTTTTTACGAATCTATAATTTTTAGATAATTTATCAATTGATCAGGTCCATTCCGTTCTCCATATTACAACCATAGGGGTATATGCTCACCCCAGCAAGGGGTAAATTAATAGGATGATGATGATGCTATATTTAAAAATAATAAATAAATTACAAAATTAATATTAATGCTATGCTACGGTTACCACACAAATAAGATATTAATGTCGTTCTGCAATGCGATAAAAATAAAACGGATTCGTTTCGTATTTTGGGCATATCCGTTGTTGAATGTCAAGGACATTTAGTACGTGATGATTTTAATTATTCAAACACAAACAACTTTACAACTCGATTTAAATGGATACTAGACTCTTTACATATTTTTTTTTATTTGATTCGTTTACTTGACATAAAAATAACCTTTTCTTTGTATTCTTAAAAAAGTTGGTAGTTTTTTTAGCCGAATGCGCGACGCAAATAACTCGAAGCGCGACGCACAGAGAGGGTATTGTTACCTGTTTACTTCTAGTAGGTGCTAGGAGAGGTGAGGTGTTAGTGAATGCCATCCCTATTAGTCCCTTGTCAGCTGCTTTTTGGGCCCAAAAGCCTATCATGCCGTTGTGGTTCGAACCTGGAATTTCAGTTAAAATTGCTTGTTTAAATGACATAAAAAATAGGCTTAGGGCAAGAAGTAGACCAAGGGTGATCGTCAACCCTCTGAACCACACTGGAGAGTAGTTCTATAGTGGAAAAGAGGTTGCAAACCGATTCAACATTAATTTCTTTGAATGATCTCATGCTCATCGGGAAACGTGTAAGAGACAAAGAGCTGGGATGGCTGGAGTGACTCCCCCGGCAAAACACCCTCCACAACAAGGGCGTATATACAAATCTGGCGCCCTGGGCCACTTACGATTTGCACCCCCTCACCCTCCTAGAATTAGTAAATCAAAATATGGGACAGTAAGGAATGCCTTTATATGGCTTTTACCGCCTGTCGCAGCCTACCGCCCCGGGCCATGGCCCTCTTGGCCCTAAGGTCTTATCCTAGGGTAAATACTCCCCTACCCACACGCAAAACAGGCAGCACAAAGACTTTGATTTGCGGAAACGGCCATTAAGAAGAACATCCCCAATAAAAAAAAAATGGTTGTCTGTTAAGTCGGTTTACGGACGATAGTTTTACGTGATAACGTCATAAAGTAACATTGATGAAAAATTGCATAATTGCTAAATCTGACGTCACGCGATACAAGCGTATACAAGCCGACGACGCTTGGGCCGATCGTGCCTCTCTATCGCTTGTTCCGCGCTTTCGCTTGCACGCTCAGGCTCAGTGGGAACGTGACATTTTTTCGTGTGTGCAGCCGGTGTTCATCAATTTATAAGACATTGTCACGTCAAAAATTATACGTATTTCTACAACTATACCTACCTTTAACAGTGACCCATCCAACGCCGGTGTCTTTTGCTTTTTTTATAGCGATGTCCATAGCGAAGTGGCTGGCTGTCGCCCCCAGAACATTGTTGGCGTCCACCCACGCTGTGGATGCGTTTTCCTTCAGTATCTAGAAACAATAATATTACGTCTTAGTTAGAGGACCCCGATGTCTCGCGTGTGGTTAAGCTCAACCCAATTCGGAGAAAAATAAAATCAAACTTCATTTATTGAGTTTAGGCTTTTACATGTGTAAGCCGAAAGCTACTGATCAGTTCGCAAATCTACGGCGAGAGACCTTGTACTAATTAGAACCGACAAGAAACTCAGCAAAGGCTCTTTTTCTGAGTCTTCTTTTCTCTCTCTTTTATTTTATACAATGTCGGCAATTTGAAAATGTCATCAAACTTTTAAACAAGTATTGAAGTCAACATCAGTTTGCCTTAAGATGCTATATTTCGCCAATTTTCCCCAAGAGTGAAATTTTCCCCAGAATTGCGCAAAAAACCACCAATCTGGTAACGCTGTCCCCACGGTTGGTTATGGCCCATTCTCTCTTTTCCATCAGCAGGGAAGCTCTGTATCGAAGCATCGCACAGTGGGGTGAATAATAGGCTGGTGATCATGATGTTGATTAGTCAGAAACTAGGACCGAGCTTATTATATGGGATTGAATAGTAATGAGTCAATAGTCACTTTATATGTATAAATACAATATACTAGTTTCCATACATCAGCAGAACCTACCGTTTCCAAAAAATATAAAAAAAACTGTATTTACCAAATAAATTACAACGATTACACTATTACACATCGTCGTCTCCTAGACAAGGAATCTTATTAAAAATATTGCAACTTATAATACGATTCAACTAAGAATAGGACCGACTGGGCGCCATATTGTGACGTAATAGCTGCCAATTCAAACCAAATAGGAAGTGTGAGCAAAAAAAAGTTTTCGTTTAATAAAACTTATTTACTAAGATTAAGTAAGAAAAAGCGTCAGATTTATTAGGTAAAATTTATTTACTAAGATTGAGAAAAAAACAACCGATTTTAAATAATATTTATTTATTAAGACTGTGTGCGAAACACATTAATCAGAATCTAGCTCTTCAATTCCGCTCATCTCTGCATTACCGCCGGAGTAGTTATAAATAATCATGCACTATTACTAGGTCACACATACGGACATGCATCCTTTATGTAAAATAAAGTTTTAAATTGAGTTTCTGAACGCAATTTAAAGTGACATTTGGTTGACGTTTTAGTTTATCTATCATTCATAGCCAAAGCTCAATAAAGGGGAAAAAAATCAATCGATATTAATTATCAATATTTGTTATTGTTTGTGTACAAATGTTTGGTTTTAATTCTAGAATTAGCTGAGTTATTTTTTTGCAAACCCTACTTTTCAAGCGACATTTGACAGATGGAGGTCATTGGCTTTCCTATTCTTATTTGAATCGCAATATATATTTAATTTCTTTACCTTTGGCTCATTATTTGGCTTGCACGCTCCCGATAAAATGTCTTTAATGTACAATTCTGAAAAAAAAAGTTTTTAGATTATATTTACTTGTATTGCAACAATTACCATTAAAGCAATAAATTTAGAGCCCTTTCCTTTCAACAATGATCCATTTTAATATATTTTCATATTATTCTAAAAAGTTTTATTATCTTCTATACTTATAATAAATCTGTAGAGATGTCAATTCTGTACATGAAATATATTTTTAAAATAACTATCAGGGGGTGATTAGTGATCGATACTGATGCCAAAAATGCAATCAGTAAATTTTTTGTCTGTCTGTCTGTCTGTGTGTATGTTCCTTATAGAAACAAAAACTACTGGACCGATTTTATCGAAACTTGGTACAATTATTCCTCATACTCCTGGGCAGGTTATAGTATACTTTTCATCACGCTACAATCAGTAGGAGCAGAGTAGTGAAGGGAAATGTTGGGAAAACGGGAGAAGTTACTCCATTTTTTAAGCTTCCGTCGCGTGTGCAGCCTTAATGATTAAAGTTACATAGAAATCATAAAAAAAAAATGGTTGCCTGTAAAGTCGGTTTTACGGGCGAAGATTTTACGTGACAACGTCTTTTTCTCGGTAGAATATTTATTGATATGAATATAATTAAATTGCACAATAGGAACAAGGAATTGAATGAAAATAAGAATTGCACAAATTTTAACTATAGAAATATATTTTGTTTACTAAAACATTGTACATGTAAACTTAAACTTAACACGAGAGACTCATCGTAACGTTACCGAGCGTTACACTTTTTCATAAGTGACTCCCAGCCGCAACCTAATTTAAGACGTTGTCACGTCAATATTCTACATAAAATTGTCTAAAAAATATTCCGCAATAGCATATGTCTATCTTTGATGGTTGACTCACAATAACACGTGTAACTCCTCATAGCTTAGCAGTTCGGAGCATTCTGATTATATTTGTTTACTCTTACGTTTATAATACTCTCACTCATCCCTAATTTTAAAAAGTTAACATTATTACCTATTCAATAAAAAAATAATCATAGAAATCGGTGTAGAAACACCAAACTTATACATGAAATAAGCCATCGCGTCGTCGCACGTGAATACTAAATCATGCTATAAGGATTATTTTTGTGTAACGGTTGAAGCGCTCGACACGGTTCGTGGCGGCGGTAGGTATAAGAAGAATGTCATTGTGTATAATACAAGCCTGAGAACAATAACTATAGTCTACACTTCAGCTCTACACCGAAGCGAAGCGAGGGCGGGCCACTAGTAATACATAAAGTTAAATAAATATATAAACTTCTTGACTGTAAAGTGAACCTCACAACAGCTTTTACATAATCTGGCAATTAGTTAATATTTAAATTAACTGCTTAACTCATCAGCGACGCGAAAACGGAGCATTCAGTGAACAGCGTTTTTTCTTTAGAGTTTCCTGAAGTTTTTCATAGGAAGTAGGGAAGCATTAACGTTCTTCATCTTCCGTCCATTTTGGCTTTTACGAAATACTCGCTCTTCATTTTCGCTTACTTAAATTGGTACTTACAATTTACATTATCGTTGACTTTCAAATTTGTTAGACATACAATGTATTTGTTTAGTAGACGTTTCGTTAAAAAAAAATTGGTACAACTTGAATTGAAACGTCGTCGTGGAAAATAACATAAAATTGATTAAAGACAGTGATAATAATGAAGTGGGGGCATAAAATGTTTTTGAAGATCAGATATTGGATATACTTATATTGATAGCAATAACATGATATTTATATTCTTAGGTTGACGCATAACAACCTAATTCTAATCAAGATGTGTGTTCTTATGGCTCGTACTACCAGGATTTAAATTAGAGATTACAGATTTAAAAAAAGGTAAATTTAAAAAATCAAAAAACCCGACTGCTTAAATATTTGATCAAATAAAAACTGAAAAGAAAAAAATAAGTCCAGTAGTCTATAATTCTGTTAAGTAAGGAACAAAGTTTATTTAACAGTCGGGACCCATTAGATATTTTAGGATGGATAAAATTTTTTCAATAATGGGTCCCGACTGTGCTTTGTTCTTTACTCTACAGAATTATATACTACTGGACTTGTTTTTTTCTTTTCAGTTTTTATTTGATCTAATATTTAAGCAGTCGGGTTTTTTGATTTTTTAAATTTACCTTTTTTATTTTACACTTTTTAGTTAGGATTAAAAGACGGTATATACTGCAGTCTTGTCACTTCAATAAGGGAGTTAATATCTAGTGGATTATTAAGTACCTTGCGGTGGTCTAAACGACGGTTAAATCAATTCCTTATCCGTATATCTAATGAATGTAAATTATATACTTAACTAGTACTTATTTTCCGTATTTATTCAAAAAGTCATCTTTTGCTTATGTTATTTTTACTAGTTCATAAAAAAATCATTTACTTTTATTCGTCAACTATCTAAAATTGGCAGTGGCTGTATGCAACTCTAAGATTGTGATATACACAAATGCAGTGCATATCCTTGTCTCATGATTGTTTTACTTACATAATTCACAGAACCAAATATGTAGGTGCCAGTGGTTAAATATTATTATCCTAACTATCTATACTAATAGGTATTATAAAGAGGCAAGAGTTGTATGCGTGTAACAAATAACAATCTTTCAAACCTGATCCGATTTCGAAAATTCATTCACCATAAGGTTGTAGCTACATTATTTATTAATATTTTTAAGCATTAATCTTAATAAGTTGATTAATCTGCTCGATTTATAAAACTAAAGAAACTTTTACTTGAAAAATTCTAACAACTTCTCCGAGAGGGTTTTTTAGATTTTTTTTCTTTATAACTACATTATATTCGAGTGACATAGGCTATATTCTATCCCGTTAAAATAAATTTCGCCCATGCAATGTCGGAGCGGATCACTAGTATAATATAATATTATAGATGCGAAAGTGATTTTGTTTGTTACGATTTCGCGCCCTTATGGCTAAATCGATTATGATGAATTTCCCTATAGAAATAGATGAGTCCTTGGTTCTAAGCTACATTATCGAAATATTCATAGGGGTAGGGTGATGGGAGGGGTGATTTACCTTTAAAACTTTATATTAATTGCTTCAAATTTTGCAGAAGTATCTGCAGAATAATATGAAGTAATATCGTTAAAATATTTATTAGCGTTATATAGCGTTTCATTCTCAGTTTTTCATTAAATTTAAAAAAATATAAATACTTTACCTATTATGATATCTTATTTCTCATCATTTAATAAGAAGGAACTTTATCACAGTTTTATTGTAAGAACTTCATATAGGATTAGATACTGTCAGTAGCCCATTTTTTTTTTCCTCCTAGGTTTTATCTACGTTTATAAACACCAAAATTCATCACTTTTCCCACCATTCCCGCAGATTCCCGCAGTATACTCTCCTGCATAGAACAACGCGCCATCACTTTGTCATCGTAACATCGTTGTAACTTTTAAATATTTGCCGAAATTACACAGAGTAAAAGGGAGATTTTTTCCGCCTTATGTGACACTTATTGTTATATTTTGGCCAATTCACCAAATAACAACATAAATTACAATCTGTATGCTATTATAATGTATGAGCTTTATTATTGGTTAGTTTGATCAAAATCCATTTAGTATTTTTTGAGTGAAAGAGTTACAAAGGTCCATACAAACGTAAGATTGAAATTAAAAGCGCAAGTGGTTAATATACAACTTTAAATCGTTGTAGATCCTAAACAATCATATAAAATGAAAAATGGTATAAGGAACCTAAACATGATTTTTGATTATCTAGACAATGATACCCCACTCGACATATTTCGGCAACTTATTATTTTTTTTTTTCTCACAATATGGCGCCCAAGTGTCTCCATATTGATTTTTATTATTATCATATCTTTAGTAGCACTCCCATGATTAGAACGAATCGATTGATGTATAAATCATCAAAATCGGTCCACGCGTTTGGTTTCTAGTGTGCCACAAAGGAACAAACATACATATATAGACTGTTAAACACTATACCCTGTCTGCGCGTCGCGCTTCGCGCTCTTGCATTGCGCAGTCGGGTAAAAACATACATATATAGACTGTTAAACACTATACCGTGTCTAACTACCGTGTACAACATTTTTCAGTAAAATCATAGGTTTGTGTAAAATATTGCAAACAATAAAAATTAGCCCGTTAAGAAACTTTGTTTAACAATAGAACTTAATATAATTACATTATATTATACTCTGTATTGCATCATATAGTTCAAAACAGAAAGTCAAATACATAGTTAGCAAAAGTGGGCTTATTTCTAAAAGAGATCTCTTCCAGCCAACCTAGGTGGTGTCGGAGATTCTAAACTTAGCGGGAAACAGAAAGTGCAATAAAAAATAAACTAAAAATAATTTATTACTACTGTATACTTTATTAATTAATTATATATATATATATATACCTACATAAATAAACTTGCATAAATAAACATAGATAAATACAATACCTATTCATATCCATCCAAATATACATAACATACTTATAAGCCTGATAAATAAATTATGACATGTAATAAAGTAATTAATAAAAGTATATAGAAACATATATACATATAATATATATTATAGGGTAGGGGTTTTGTTATTATTGAAACAATATAAACCTATCCATTTATACTTTTTACAAATTTTAAATTTTTGTTGTCACAAATCACACCAAATTGTCAATAGTAGCCAAAGGGGTCAATGCACTTCAGTTCATCCATTGCGAACTATAAATAGTTTGTCCGGGAGGGCTTGCCATTGTTCATAATTATCTTATATTATTAATTGTCTTTGTACCTACCTGAAAAGCTCTTTCAATCAAAATTTAGCTTAATGCTTAAGTTCTTCTCTTTTTTAACAGTTAACATTTATCCTTCCTACTAAGTGCAATCTCTAGGAGAATTGCTTAGTCTGATCCTGATATTTTTATTCATTTATAGCCTTTATTTGCTGACAAATTAACATTTTAACATAACTTGCGTGACTTATTGCCACATAGGCCTCCTCCTAGGAGCTCGATGGCGCCAGTGGTTAGCGCGTTCGGCTGCGGTCGTTGAAGTTGAGCAACTTTCGCAGAGATCGGTCATTGGATGGGTGACCAAAAATTTACTATCTCGAGCTCCTCCGTGCTTCGGAAGGCACGTTAAGCCGTTGGTCCCGGCTGCATCTGCATTCGATAGCACTCACCAACCCGCACTGGGCCCGCGTGGTGGGTCATGGCCCAATCTCCCTAACCCATCCATAGGGAAGGCTTGTGCCCCAGCAGTGGGGACATTAATAGGCTGATGATGATGATGAGGCCTCCTCCAACCCTTTCCATTCGTTGCGATCTTTTGCCAGTCTTAAGCTTAACCAGGTTGCTCCAACCACAGAACACAGGAAGAGGTTAGAAGGGTGCTCATAGACCGTTTGTAATGGAACTGATGTCGCCGGCTCGGCCCACTGTACTTTCACCTATTAGATAATAGCCAATCAAACGACGAGACATCAAACAATCGACCCAATCAGCGCTCACACCCGAGAGCCACGACGCAATCAGAACCAAGTTTTGGTCAAGTTATGAGCATTTGCTCACACATAACTGTGGCGCGCCTGCCCCGCCCACAAGGCGTTCTGACCTGTTTCTATGTTCTGTGGCTCCAAATGTTTTCTTAATGCCATCAGACCATCTTTTGCGCTGCCTTCCTCTATTTCTCTTTGCGTTGTATCAGATTGTTCATGCTGTTATTTGTTGTGTTCATTTCATTCTTGTATCACTTAAGATGTGTCCCGCTGTAGATTAACTATCTTAGTTTCGTACTGAGGGTGTGCTGACCTCTTTTCATGTTTATGGCAAAAATTTGAATTTTCTTTGTTTTTTTTAACATTGATAAAGGATTATTATCAAGACGAAATCAGTTTATTAATTTGTAGATTATTTTTATAAACTGCTAGAAATAGATGGCTTCTAATTTTGTGGACGAGACCCAACGCGAGCACAGGCAAACTGATACAAGGCAAGTCCGTCTAGACTTTGGGCAAATTTGAAGAAGACCAATGCAAGTTGCCAATATAGACGAGCTTTTTGGAGCTGCCCATACGTTGGTCCGCTATCAGTTATTATGATATGCACGATGAGAGACAAAACGTTGGCAAGCGACAGCGAGTGTCGACAAGCGACGCCAAGGGATATAAACGTTGACGCTTCCCTTGCTCGGCGAATTAGGCAAGCGACACCGAGTGAGGATAAGACAGATATGTTGTCTACACCACAGAACACAGAAAGCGGTTAGATGGGAGTTTATAGACCGTTTGCACGGGAACCGATGTCGCCGGCTCGTCCCCTCTACAGTTACATCTACTAGATAGAATAGCCAATCAAACGACGCGATATCAAGCAAACGACCCAATCAGCGCTCACAACCGAGAGCAACGTCGCAATCAGAACCAAGTTTTGGTTAAGTTATGATCATTTGCTCACACATAACTCTCTCTCTCTCACACACACACACACACACACACATACTCTCAGCAACGCGACACCCGAAATTACTCATTATTTCAATTACCTAAACATTATATTTTAACCTACCTATTACATTAAATGATTACATTCTGATGTTATAGTTCTCTTCAACATCGTTAAGATAGTTATTTTATTTTTTCAGAACATGTAATTTTGTTATTATGTACCACTGTAAAGTTTGTATTTTTTTTGTGCATGGGATTGTGAGGAGAAGAAATAAAGAATTATTATTATTATTATAACTGTGGCGTGTTGTTCTTTGTTGATCTTCTTTTGGCCAATATGTAAAGACTTGAAATTACCGTGTCAAAAATAAAAACGAGCGAGCCTTACAGTAGTCGCGTATGATGTGTAACATTTGAAACCCCACCTTAAATTATTAAAAAGAAATAAAACCTACTACAAAAGGCAATAAAAAAATTAGCCATTTGAACATTATATTCTAAAATCAAACCAAATCAAATAGTCGCTTTCGCGACTTCCTGTTACTCACTTCCGTCCCATTTTACGAAATCACTCCCACAAATTGCAGGAAAGTGAGAGGAAAGATGTTACACATCTAAAAACAGCTTTATAGTATTAAAAGATTGTATAGGTTTACCTAGTCTATTAAGGCCGTGGCTCGGGTGCCCCATGCGGTCGGCCTGTATGAGGAGCTCAGCTTGCTGCTCAGCCGCCTTCGCCGCCGCACCGGCTGACTTCAGACAGTCGGTCATGAACCGCAGCACCTCAGCTGTAGCTACCTTACCCATAGCTGGAGATCACTGGAATAATAAATAAACAGATTATTGTGGGATTGAAGGTAGGTAGGTAATAGACAGCTTATTAGAATAACAAAAAATTTGTGGTATCAATTTGATCAGTAAAAACTTTTTTAAGAAAAATAGGTTATATGGTGGCAAAGATGACACCGAACTGCCAAAATATTAACAGACTATATTGCTCTTTATTTTATTTTTTTAGAGGACAGTTCAGTAACTGCTTTCGGTTAGAAAAGAAACGACTAAGTATTGGAATTTTTTGTTAGAATTTTTTTATTTTGAATGTATAGTATACTATACCAAGCGACTTTAAGGGTTAACAAAGAATAACAAAAAAGTAAGAAATCATACAATTCTAAACTACATTTATAGTCAAACTAGTTGTGCCCTGCGGTGTTACCCGCGGTTTATTAGGGAAAATTCATTTTCATCGATTTTCCCATGGGAATAAGGTATTTCCCCGCAGTAAAACGTAGCCTCTGTGTTAATCAAGGGTGTCAGCTAACTCCATACCAAATTTTATTAAAATCGCTCCGATTCCGCTCAGACGTGAAGAAGTAACAAACACACATACTCACAAACTTTCGCCTTTATAATATTAGTGTGACGCCAACGCAAGCAGTAAACGTAAACGGAGATACTCTAAGGGTCTCAAAGGGTAACTCTTCTTCGATCGATCGATCTTAACTTCGTTTAGAATTTTCTTATTACTTACATTTTTGTGATTTTGTTTTTGTTGTTTGAAATGCAATAAAATCCAAGATGCAATATAATGATCATGAACGTATACCTAAAAACCACAGAACACAGAAAGAGGTTAGAAGAGTGATCATAGACGGTTTGTACGGGAACTGATGTCGCCGCCCCGCCCCCACTACACTTCTACCTAATAGATAATAGCCAATCAAACGACGCGACATCAAACAATCGAACTAATCAGCGCTCACACCCGTGAGCAACGACGCATCAAAACCAAGTTTTGGTCAAGTTATGAGCATTTGCACACGTAACTGTGACACGACTGCCCCGCCCACAAAGCCCTTTTAAGACTTCTAACCTCTTTCTGTGTTCTGTGCTACAAACACATAGACGAAGAATCTCGCTACTCTTAGTAAAAACCGGACCAGTTAAACTTGCATGAAGAGGATTCCGTTCGTAGATTATCTAGGTTCCATAAGTTTTTCTAATCTGCTAAAATTTTCAAAGCGGATCCAATATGGATCCGCGCATGACAATTTTGTGGCTTTACAGAATAGCATTGCTAGCATTGTGGTAACTAAATAAAAATAATGCTTATTTCTGAGTTTTGAAAATTTTCTTATTAACTGTGAAAAAACACAAACTTCTAGGTTTTTCTGCTTGCACGCACGGCTTGGACGTATATAAACTTTAGACGAAAGAACTGTATACTTCCTAGTGTCTATACTGTAAATAGTTTTTACTTTGGAGGCCATGGTTATTTTTTGCCCTTTTTCATAAATAACCTTACAGTCATTATTTTCTATTATTTATAAACCTCACAACAAGGCTTTATGTTCATTTGATATGACAGACAGCAGAGATGCTACATTCGTCTATAGAAAAACAGAGTGGACAGTTTTCTTTTTATTCTCTATTCTCTCCCCAAAGACTTTACTCTTCCAGTTTTGAATCTCTGATATATAAAATGTTTACGAAATTTCACTTCAATTTGTCCAGTACCTAGTTACAAAGCCGATTTGCTGTGACCAACGGACTGACAACCAAAATTTTTATAATATAATACTTGGACTGATTTCGACGATTAGAATAAACTATTTCACAATTCCTGACAGAAAAAAAAATTACCTAATAATACAGAACTGCATTATTGAGATTAGATTCACAAAACGAGTTACGCTCAAGAGATACGTTTTCGATTTATAAATATTATTTATATAGTTTTTAATAACCAGCTTTAACTCCGGTGTTCTAGTTTAACTCCGGATTTGAAAACCGCTTAAAATCGCTTTTTTAAGCTCTAGCACACATAGCATCAAATACGAGTAAAAGTTACAGTCAATTTAGAAATATTCATTCAGTTGAATGGAAAATACTTTTTTTTTCTTTTTTTTAATTAGAGGATTTTATTTTATGAATATGCCAGCCTCATCGTACCCTAACCAAAATATACATAACTAATTTAATTTAAAACATTGGAGAGGGCGAGCTATTCTTACTAGTGAAAACCGTATTAAACATCGACTTTGCTGCATCTGAGTTTGGTAGTGCTAATATTTCCAGAAACGAACCTATATTTTCAAAGTAATGTTGATATTGTTGTATGAATAGCTCTCTCTCTCTTCTGTTCTTCACACATTCCATCAAAATGTGTTGAACATCGTCCACTTTGTTACAAACTTCACAATTGGGACAATTAGCTTTCTTCATCAAATGTGCAAACTTCCTAGATGGATAATGACCTGATCGTAATCTGTGACCAATAACGACATATGACCTATTTAATTTGGTTTCTATGAACCATGGAATCCGAAGAGGCTGACACTGTATTGTCTTATACCATATACCTTTTTGTTTACTTTTTTCGTCAAAATATTCCTTAAATTTATTATAACATATATTTTGTACTTGTACAACATTTCCGAGTAACTTGGGTTGATTTCAATTCCTTCCAACACTGCTTTTTTTGCTAATCTGTCAGCCTCTTCGTTACCCCTTATTCCTATATGCGATGGAACCCATTGTAATTTCAAGTTCGAATGCTTCAACTTATGTATCTGATTTAGTATAACATAGGCTATCGATGCTCCTCTGCAACCAGAGGCGCATCGAGCTAAATGTTGTAAAGCACTCTTGCTGTCTGTTATGACCACTACATTCTGATTACTTTCACCATTAATACAACAGATAGCTTTAGAAATGGCAACGAGTTCCATCGTCATAATTGACACTTTACTCGTACTTTTAAACATAGCAACTGATCTATCACTCGCATCATAATAAGCTGCTCCTTGCCCGTCTGCACTTTTAGAGCCATCGGTATAGTAAACTTTCCAGCAAACATATTTCTGGTGTAATTCTTGCATAACATTGTACTTAAGGGAATTCACTTCATAATTACTTTTAGCTTTTTCGATGCAATCTAAATTACATTGAATGACATTATCTAAATCAACAAAAGTGACCCAAATATCTAAGTTGAACATTTCTAAAACTTTAGACGAATGAACATTGTTTTGTTTAATTTCATCAAAAACTGTTACAAGTAAAGGTTTTTTCTTTTTTTGCCAATAGTTGATATGTAAAAGGTTATTTAGTTCATTACAAAGTTTAACAGTTAAATTGTCTGCCACGGACATACTTTTATTGCAATATTTGTAAGCCAAATACAACCTCCTAATAAATAATGGTACTAAACCTAACTCTGACTCCATAACATGGATCGGTGAACTTTTGACAAATCCTCCAATTACTTTCATACATTGGTTTTGAATTTTATCTAATTTGTATAAGTGACAATTAGAACAACAATCATATAAGACACAACCAAAGTCAATTCCACTTCTTATTAATGATAAATAAAAATTTCGTAAATGTTTGGGATGAATTCCCCACGCTGAACCTGCTAAAACTTTAAGTAATTTTAAAAATTTTTCAACAACTTCGTTAATATGTTTGCCCTATAATAGGGAACGATCTAACCACATTCCCAAATATTTGATGCATTCAACCTGAGGTAACGGCACATTATTGACACATACACGTAATTGTTTCCTTCTCCGACCTCTGCTGAAAAGGCAAACTTTACATTTGTTTGCTGATAATTCTAATCCAATATTGTTTAGGCACAAAATCATAACTTCTAGGGCGCTCTGCAATTGTTCCTCACAGTGATTCAAATTTAAATTACTAATATACAATACATAATCGTCTGCATATTGGGCGATACGCACGTTTTTAATCCTCTGAGTAATTTTATAAGTTGATATATTGAATAGTAGTGGTGAAATCGGGTCCCCTTGAGCTAAGCCCCTACAACATTTCCTAGCGGCAACAATATTTCTGTTGTTATTGTCTTTATATATAGATGCCAGAAGTTAACTTCAAATGTTGTTAATCACACTATGTACAATACCAATCAATGAAGTTTATGTCGCAGGTTGAAGAAAGCAGTAATTCCCGTCTGTTGTTTTGGACAATGGTGGCAACTGCCTTAGATCGCTAAATAAAATAGTTATGCAATCACCAATGCAAAGTTTATAATATTTGATTAAACTAAAGGCGCATAATAAAATTTTCATAACGTTAGGTAGAGCACCATAGCAATCTCATTTATTATCAATTTATAGTTCTCTTTGTAGTTTTCTTTTAAAGCGTTGACATATAGAAGGTCAACTTTGTGATCGACCCTTTTTTACCCTAGTAAAGCTCGAATGAAGAGTACTTCCACCAATCAAGCGTGCTGCTACCAGCCTAGTAGGTATTGCAAATAGTGCAATCATGGCAATTACTTGACCAAGACCAAGACTAACCGTGCAAGACTTGAGCAAGAACAAGACTAATCCGGCAAGACTCTTGCGTCTTGCAGCTAGGACTTAGCGCTATTTCACGGAGTAACGTTAGGTATAACAGTTCGGTGTATAGGTACGCTTAGGAATTCTATGAGACGCAAAAAACTGTATCAAAGAATATGAAAAACTATAACTATGCGCATTACGACCAATACCATAAACATACATAGCGAATAAAAAAATATCCATTAAAATCAAACAGATTGCATGCATAGTTTTGTTTTAACCATCGGCACTTTGATAATGCGGCATCAAAGGTTTTGTACTGACTTCTCAAAGAAATTTGCCGCTTTTCAGAAGTACATGGTGATGATACACGCGCCGGCGGCTTCTATTGAAATCACATACAACAATCGTTGCCGCCGCGCCGAAATCACAACATTTGACACTATTTGATTGCCGCCACAGGGCCTAGGTATACTCATGCAAAATTATAATTTCGTGTCGTGCCGTCCCACTCACGCTAATACTATCTATACAGGGTTACAGGGAAAGTCGTACTGAATATTGAAGGACGTTATTATTCAGGT